GGGCTTGAGGTTGTATGGCTTAGAAGGGCTTAGGTTGTAAGATAGATATATTTATATGTATATGTATATGTATACGTATATGTATATGTATATGTGTATCTATATATATATGCATATGTATATCAGTGCATATAAATATATACATGCACTCAAGTATAACTAAAGGTGTACTGATACACACGTATCATTAAAAGTGTATGTGTGTGTATATATATACATACATACATGTGTATATGGGTTGCCTAGCCAGGTGCCACCCAGACTGCGCGGTTATCGTGGAACTCGTGGCCGTGCTCCGCGCACCTGGTGTGGCTGCACCACCTGTGCAAACCACACAGGCCCTGTTTTTGAAACTGCGGACCTCTAACGTCTGGTAAGTGCTTGATTGCGTGCAGGCCGCGGCGACACCGCTTCTGGCCGACCCCGGACAACCCCAGGATTTACTGCTGCGTCCCTGGTGATCTTTGGGAGGTGTCGGCGAGTGCTCAGAACCGCGCCGAGGCAGAAACAGACACTGGGATGGTTGCTTCTTCTCCCGTTCTACCAAGCGACGAGTGAGGCTAGTCTTGGCATGTTTTTGAAATGACTCTAAAAAGCTCCGACTGTTAGTGAGGGGCTGCTGAAAGCCGCCGCAGTGTCCGGTGAACGTGAGGAGCTTTCTTATATGCTGAGAGAGTTTATGGAGCAGAGATGCTGAGGGCAACGCCGCTTGAGGTCCCTGTTTGGCCTTCGATGTGCAGTTTTTCGGAGGGCCGGGCTTGTCCATGCTTGCCGAGGAGGCAGTTCCACCGTCCCTTGCACACCAAGTGTCCTGACACTGCTCTGCAGGTGTGGTCTGCAGCAGCTCAGGGCCCCACCACTATTTCGACCAGGCCAGTCCTCACCTCCTTGGATTAAATAGGTCGCAGCAAGGCGTAGCAGTGAAAAATTTGGCACGTTCAGGCCAGCTGAGACTGCGAAGCCCTGCCGGCCGGCACTGTCAGCCAGATGCTGGGATAGCTGCCTGTAGACCTCACCATGTGCAAGGCTTTAAAGCCAAAGGCAAAGTCACATTCCGGTTGCCACTTTACCCCGTGAGCAAGAAACCGAGCCGTTGCCGACACCCGACCAAGGCCAGCAGGATTTCATGCAGCTTTCAGCTTTGTGGCGACCGCCTGATGCAGTCACAGCCTCGCAGACGCCATCAGACGCCTCTTATGCCTCCTACGATTGCTTTGGCAACTTGGTTCCACCTCCGTTGAGGTGGCTCCGGCAGCACGTACCCTTGCCGAAACCGGAAATCCAGCAGCTGGCCTGCATGAAGTGCTCAGCAGAGCTTGAGCTTGGCGCCGAATTCCGAAGTTGTGCGCTGGCTCAGGGAACCGCCGCCCAAGCCAATGACCCTTCAGCCGTTGTGTCTCGCCTTTCGATGCCACGAGTCACCACAAGCATGCTTCGCAAGTGATGTCGAGGCCGTCGGTCTCGCCGCAGACGGCACTGGCAGTGCCAGCTGCACAGGTTCGGATAAGGGAATTTCAGGGTGGCACAGTTGTGATCTCTCTGCCACCACCAGGGTCTTCCTTACACACCTCCGCAGTTGGCTCCAACTCAGCCAGCAAGTGTCTTAGCCTCAGCTGCACGGACTTAAGATGAGTGAAAGTATGTGACAATGCTCGGAGACAGTGTGCCTCTGCGACGAGGCTCTGCCGGTGCCTGTTCAGGCACCAGTGCCAGGGCAAGCCGAAGACTTAGCTGCAGCTTCTTTAAAACTTCCTAAAGAGACGGAGCTCCTTAGCCAAGGGTCTGGCCGTTTATCAGCCAGCTTTGGCACCTGCTTCGATGGTGGTTCCAGCACCTGCACCAGCACCAGCACCGGTGGTGGAGAAGATCTACCTGCGAGATCAGGCGGTGCAGAGCGATCCACCAGCGATTCAAGGCTCGGCGAAAACATGCCTGGATGAGGGTTTGGGGTGATGCTGTGCCCGAGACTCACTGAGGTGTCGACGACAACGTCATTGGTGACGCCAAGCCCAAAGCATCCTCCGTGGCCACTGAAACCGGACCTCCCGCCCGGCCACTCAGCGCCGTGGACAAGGCCAACCTGCTGCAAGGCAGGCACTCATCTCATTTGATTTCGACTTCAGGTGGTCAACACTAGTTCACAACGGATCCCTAGCGCTGACTTCCTGCGAGGCACCGGCGGTGCCGGATTCAAGCCGCCCGGGCCATCCGTGCCCGCAGGTGAGAGTGTACCTCCCAAGCGTGAGCTTCGCTGGAAATTCGAGGATGAGGATATGCTTCAAGCAGACGAAATATCCTTGGAGCTCCTCACGTTGCGCAGCTTCATGCCTACGGACGGGGAGCGAATCTACTTCCAGTTGCGCTTTTTCCAGTTTCCACCGGTGAGGACGGCACCAGCAGCATTGTCTGGCAAGCCAGGGGAAGCCTGCCTCTTGCGAAGTGCCGTCACCAACGAGCGGCTTGCCATGGTCTTTCACATGGACGGCTATGTGAACGGCTCGGTGGCCACGTCCGCTGCATCCGTGCATCGTCACTTGGTGAATTATCTCAGTGCCCGCAGTGCGGACATCGAGATTTGGAGCGCTGAATCTGGCATGCATATCGGGTCGACATCAGTACCTCTTGAGATGTTGGTCAGGCAAGGACATCAAGTTGCGAAGGTGGAGGCTGAATACGCGGTTCTGGAGCCTTTGTCAGGTGAGCCCAAGGGAACGCTGCGGATGCTGCTAGTAAATCGTGGCCGCACACCGACTCCGTACCAGCACTTAAACTCCAACAACCTCCCGTCACCACCTCCAGATGACAAAGGCCCTCAGCCACCGCCTGCACCTTCTCCTCCTCGTGGAAGGACCCGCCACAAAGTGTCAGCTCTGATCGAGCCCGGTTCAGAGCTTCATGGTGCACAAAACCTAACAGGCCAGGCCACCGTGGCTGAAGAGCTCAGCCAGCGGAAGCACGAGAGGCTAAAGCAGCTGCGCATGCTTCGCAAATCAGATCTGCAAGCAGATCCTTTTTCCAACCACTCTGTGCTTCTGGCGGCAGCAGAGTCTGCCCGACAGGAGCGCAAGAAACAAGAGGTTGCGAGAAGGATGGACCGCTTCAACACGACACAGCAGTCTCTCACCGCGAGTTTTGCTACTCCCTCATATTTCTTTGTGGACTTCACCAACCCGTATGGGCAGCAGGCAGTCTTCTCGGTCCTGGTGACTGGGGACAAGCCGCGAGCACCGGAAGTCTTGCCTGCAGTACCCCCACAGCAGCCGCTACAAGGAGCCGGTGGCCCAGAGCAAAGACGTGTGGCACACCTTCGGACTCGGTGGCGTGTGGCACTTCCAAGGTTCTCATGGAGATGCCCGAGCAGGCCCTGATGCTGGTCAAAGACCCAGAGGCAGAGAAAAACACATGCGGAGTGAACGACAGCAGGTGAAAGTCGGTGATCGTGGCTCAACCCAACCAAGTCCTTCCTGCATCAGTTTCCCTGTAGAGGAATGGCGGCGGCTCGTGTCGCTCGGCGTTGTGCCCACAGCACCTTCAGGCAGACTTCCTTTGTCAATGAACTCCATGTTGCAAGTCCCTGTTGTCAGTGTACATCACTGGGTTGTGCGACAGCTGCTCGGAAACCTCGACTGCCGTGATCAGGCACAAGGAGTCAAGGACTCTGTTAGTGTGAAAAGCAGCTGTGTGTCGCAGTGTGGGAGTATGCTAGTGCGCCTCCGTTGAACTGCCAAACCTGTGCCGTTATCCGACTTTGTTGTGTTTTGCTGATGTACTGCCATTTCGGCGGGCTTCTAAGGGTTCAGTTTACTACCATTCAGCTGCACAGCCAGGTGCCCTGCACTGCTGTCTCGGTACATGCTCCGAAGCTTTTGCGGTTGTTTACATGACGAAGTGAAGAGCATTGTTGGTACCTTCGCGTTCTTTCTGCATCATAGACGGTTGTGACTAGGGTAGGTGTTGGGCCAGCGCTCGGGGTTGTAGTGCAGGCGACTTTTCACGCTTGGCTGCGGGATCGTTCGTTCTCAACCCCAAGGAAAGCATCAGCAACTTGATCGCATTTACATGCATTTAACTCTGTCTCTCGCTGCAGAAAGCCACGTTGCGGAGGCCTGCCCTTCCGTTACTTGGATTTCAACTTCCCGGGCGTCGACACGACAGCCCAGCTGGTGTGGCACCTGGAGAGCTGGGCAGAGCATAGCCCTTCCAGATCCGCAAAGCGCCGAGCGGGCCGAGGCCCCTCCTAGCGGCCTCCGCTTGGCTGATGTGGCTGCGGTGGTTGCAGGGCCAAGCAGAAAAGATTTCCGGGTAGAGGCGCAGAGAATGCGAACTTTCCGGGTACTGAACCCCAAGTTCCAACTCTGAATCAAGAAAGGAGACTCTGGATCACTTAGTCGTTTCAAAGTCATCCTGTCTTAAAAAGGAGGCCTCCTGGAATTATGCTGTGAAGGTTCCGCTCTGCAGAGTTAGCTAAACAAAAGGAGGCAACTTGACCGATTACTATGGCAAGCCAAATCCTGGGCCTTCCCTCTCACAATTCGGTGACGCATTGAAGCCATGAGACTGACGTTGGCATATGGGCAGGTAGCTTTGGATCATGGTCCCGTGATGCGATGCGTGGAGGCAACACCCCTGCGGCATTTTCTGAAGCTGTCGGCTTGTCTCCGGCATTTCTGTGCAGAGGTGTCGGTTGTTTCGCAGCCCACCTCAATCGACCGGACGGTGCGCTTCTTCGAGGCTCCATGTCAGCAGCCATCATGCAATCGCCAAGATCATGAAAGTTTTATGTCTGTGCTTTCTGCTTGGTTTTGATAGAGCTTTGCGGCTTGGTGTGTGCACAATGGAGAGGCTGAGGGCACCGCGGCCGAGAAGGCGAGAAAGTGTTTAGCACCCCTTAAACCGCCTCGCTGCTTCGCTGGAGCAAGGCAGTGGCACTGCCGCCGTCGCCGGACCCGCTTGGATTCCAAGCCAAACGAATGCACTGCCTGTCTATGCTTTGGGGCTCTGGCGGTCCGAGGTCAGCTGGTAGTTGCTACGTGTACTGCACCAACAGAGATGCTCTTGCCCCAATGTGCCACAGGATACGACTGGCAGCCTTTCGCTGCACTCTGCATGGCTGCTGTGACCAAGGTTCATGTGCAACGGAAGGAACAGGACCCGGACTCGTCACTAGCAGTGTGGCAGATTCACACAGTCGTTGAAAGCAAGGAGGAGGTCTCCTTGCGCTTCATCGCTCCTCAATCACCCAATGTGCCCTGCTCTCGGAGTGATATTAGAAGCATATTACTAGCCTCAAGCGGACAGTTCACAGCAACGTATCAGCCGGAAGGCCAGAGCCAGATCTTTCCCAGAAATGATTGGGAAAGCGCGTGACGGATGACATTCGATCCCAGCTTCAGAGGTTGTCCTTCTTCCTGGTCTTTTACGCGGATCCGCATTTTAGCCAAGTTGCCTTGGCCTTCTTTGGGAGTCTATGAGTTCGCCTCCGGTAATTGCCGATATCCTGCTGAGGTGGCCATCCAACTGATCGACATCCAAGCCTTGCGAACTGAGCGGATCCGTCTCGCCGGAACCTTAGTAAACTGCACTGTCAAGCCGTCAAAAGCTTGGCTGGGCCATGCCGGGCCCTTAACTTGCACAGCTGCAGGTGGTGGGCCAAAGCGTCGAGCGTGCCATCTGCCACCAACCTGGAGTGAAGCATCTGCATTCACAGGGTAGGAATCGGGAGGAATGACAAATCCTGAGTTTTTGAGCTCTTGTATTTACTTTGGCCTTGCATTACCGGAAGAGTTTGTTGCATTGAGGCCTGGCACCGGCGGAGGCTGCACGATACATTTGCATCACATCAATCCTCTTCATTGGGACGTTTGCATCTCACGGCTTCGAAGTAAAGCACCGTAACGATCCCGATTCTGGCTTCGAAGGGGTCGATGCCATTTTGTTCGAGATGGACTGTCTTGGCCGAGAGATTTGTTTTAGAGCAGCGACATCATCGAAAAGCAGAGAACGGACATCGAGGAAAGCAACAGCTGCTTGCACCGGTATGCATCGCAGCCCACGATCCGAGAGCTGGGCACCGGTGGCAGTTTGCAGTGAACGTGTTCCGGAGAATCATTCAACAATCGCGGACACATCTTCCGCTCGCAGAAACATGCCCGACATGCACTCTGGATCCCGGCTTTCAAAATCACCATAGCATTTCGCCCGGACTGCTCCGCGCATGAATCATGTGACGCTAGGTAAGCCCTTGGCTCCCAAGCCGCAATCGGGAGGTCCTGGATGCTGGTGCCGTTCGGTTGCATTCTTCAAACTCCGAGGCCATGTCGAGATGATTCGAGATGTCAGTAGCTGGCTCTACCCTGCAGCATCCCGCAACGACATCAGTGTGCAGGTCGTTGCTGTGCAGCACACAGCAGAGGCCTGCCGCGTGGCAACTGTCAAGTTTTGTGCTGAAGCATCGACTCATGAAGAGATAGGAAATCAGAAGCTAGGTGGATCCGCGCTATGGGGTGAAGTTCACAGTTCTGATCACGTCCATGCAGGCAGCCCGTCGGGCAGAGGGGGGGAGGGGTAGGGATGGTAGGGCAAGGCCCTGGCTCCAACAGCAGATGAAGGTTGGAAGTCGCGCCTGCCGCTTGCATGCTGTTGATCCTGCGATGCGGCGACTCGTTGCTGCCAGTCTCTGAGTCTCAGTGGACCTGAAGTGATCATGTTAGAGCCTTCGTAGATTGACCCGACGGGATGTTTGAGGCACTCCTTGTCGTGGTTGCAGCAGATCCTCCAGAAGTCAAGGCACCCTTGTCCAGAGTGCGAAGATGGGGCCTCATGTATTCTTGCACCATTGATTGTGCAGATGGTGCACAGCATCACTCTGCCCGTTGGGAGCTTGGCATTCTGGTAGGCACTGGTAGCCTGGAGGCCTGCAGAAGCTGCATGTTTGCAAAGGTCCTAACCGCCGTCCGCAAGCGCCTCCTTTACAAGAACGAGGCACAGCGATGCTTTTTGACGTTGTAGACATCCCTGCGTCAAGCTCCACGCAGGCAGTCCGGCCAATCAAGTGCCCTCAGAAGCCTGGGCTTGCTTGGCATGGGTTGCTGTTTGGTCCACCATCTTGCACGGGGCAAGGAAGGTAATTTCCAGTCGAATCCAATGATGTACAGCAACGGCTTCATACAGCTTCCTTCCCGCTTTGAGGTGGGCACAATACCCCCGAAGCCGAAACCCTCGCAACTGTGCTCGATGTGGATGCTCAGGTAGTCGGGTACAACAGCCAAGAATGTTGGTTGTTGCATGAGCCATCACGGGTGCTCTGACTTTTCCTCCTCAAACTGCAGCGTGTGATCCTTTCACGTCAAAAACTGCTTCACGAGGAAGCTGCGGGTGGGGCAACGGACATGGCCAACAGCCATGTGCAGTCACGCGCAGGTACATCGTGCGATGTTCCGAACCAGCCCTGGTGACAGTGCAGCCGTGCCTTGAGATGTCCAGCTTGCTCTGTGCTCGCTTTCGACCCCTTCAGCTTTCTTCAGGTCCCCAGAGCTGGTCATCAATTCACTGGACACGCGATGCATCGAACTCTTGTTGCCTTCTCAGCACTGCTTGCTCCACCCTTTAGGGCACTTGCATGGAGACTCCCGGCCGAGGTTTCATGCCGTTCCTGCTACGCTGTCCTACAATGCTGAGGCTATGGACATGATACGTCCTGTGCGCAAACTTTTGAGAACTTCTTCCACTCGGCAGGTCTTCCTTTTCATTACTTCGGAAGTGGCTGCCTTGTTTTCGAGAGGGGTGTTGCGATGTGAGTTGCATGTCTGTCTGGCCTTTGCATCAAAAAAGCTCTGAAGCAACCTCCGAGTATCAACAATCTGGAGCTTTTTTCAATCTAAGCAGCAAACCATAGCAGCAAATCATGTTTTGCTGGCAGCAGTCTTACAAGAGAATGTCAGCAATTGATACAACCTTGTCCGAAGCAAGTGGCCACGTCACTGTACCAAGGATCGCGCAATTCACGAGACTCGCATGCTGGAGCTTGCCTACACGTGAGATATGGCAGCATGCATGGTCTCTGTACATCCAGTACAAATTCAGAATTGACTTGACTTGGGCCAGATGAATCAAGCTAGATCTAAGTGTTTCTGTGCCTATCCTTGCATTCAGTGTCAAGTCGAACTGCACGGTGACTGCACAGTTGCACTGCCAGTGCTTCTGCGCCCAGCTAATGAAGTTGTCCTGGTCTACAAAGCGAGCCGGGGGACTTGTAGAATCCTCTCGTGTCGTAGACTGGAGAGATGTGTTCGAAAACGGCACTCGACCGCTCGACCTGCGCAAGCGGTCGAAATTGGGAGAGGGAGGCATGGACTTTTGCTGCTGACAGGCTTCGCATGTCTGCGGCTGTGCAGCTGTCGGCAGGCCCATGCACTGGTGACCGCGGCGCGAGGCTCCAGGCAGATGCTGAGCAGCTACTTGGCATGCAATTGCATCACAGCATGCTTCTGCCTGCAGTGCATGCTTCTCGGTCTGATGCTTCGAAGGTAATTCGCTGGCGGCATCGTAGCATGCTTAGCTACTGACTGCTTACCATGGTGCTGCTGAGACCTGTTCCCTTCATGGGCACTGAACGCTTTGCGCGGGCTTGGCACAGGCTAGGTGCGGACTATGCTGCGCCACGCATGCGATCTACAGCCGGAACCCCAGATATCGACAGAGGACTCCTGCCCAAAGGGTTTGCACACGGTTCTTCGGTTCGCATGCATCCAAATCCCGCGGACGCCGCCCAAAACCAGCAAATTCCAACTTTTGAAAACCCAGACATTGCCCGACACTGAAAACTTGAAATCCCAAGACAAGTGCGTCTCCGTGCTCCGTAGAGGACATTCCAAGAATTCACTGAGCCTAGTTTGGCGCACGCATGGTCTTTAAAAGCTCAGTGACCGTGCTGGAACTCAACCAAGCAAGCATCAGGGTACTTGGGGCTGTTGGTTGCTGTGGGGCTACAGGCAGGAATTGCGGGTGCAGGGCCATCAGGTTGGCGCCGACGGCAATGAAGGAGATTTCGCTTTGACAGGATCAAGAAATGACAAGAAGTGATCCATCAAAGCTACCGTAATGCATCTGTCTTCCTGTGCGGGCGTTATGCAGGTCAACGACGAAGCATCGAACCAAAGTTCTGTTTTTTTCTGCGCTGTCATCAAGTCTTCATGCTAGCAGTTGAGCTGTCCGGTTGTAGCAATTAATTGTAGTATGCAATTCATGCAGGTAGTCCAATTCTTTCAGTCATGCGCCGCTTTTGATGATGTCTCGGGTTGCAACAACTACTTGCAAGGTTGAAGCTTTACTGGCAGTCGTATTCAGATCTTGACACTCTGGAATCTCGTGTCAGCCGCCTGGACCACCTCCGCCGCAGTTCCCGCGGGCCCCGGCCGGGGCCCCAGAGTTTGTCGCACAGGCATATACAGAGGCTGCCTGTCGGAGTTCAGCTCAGCCAGTCCCACACTCATGGACTGTCGCCATGTGCAATGACCCGGCCTGAATTAGTTTCTTCGCGTCAAGGCAAGGTGCAAGCGCTGACCCGTATTGTTGTCGCCGCTAGTTCTTCAAGATCGGGTTAGAGTCCGTAGAAGTGCGAGCATGCAGGGCCATGACAGAAAAGCCTGCTTTTTTGCAGGCAGCGCCGCCCAGCTATGGCACCCGAGCAGCGAGCACGGCATGGGCCTTAAAGTCGGTCATCCGGACGTCGGACGGCTCATTGACGACTTTCAAGTTTTGGTGGCCAGGGCTTGCCAAGAAGACCGCTTAAAGCACCGACCGGTGGGCGACAGATGTCCGCTAAAACGTCGGGAGCTCGGAACATGCATTCTGGGACGAGTTTCCGTTCAACAACTCACTTGTCCCGGGGGAGTGTTGCGAGCTTGTTGCTGAACGTACAAACGCTTGACCCGCAAGGGTGCACACTCGTAGCTATGGTTAGAGCTGCATAGCAATTATGAAAGGAGGTCTCGCGAGGTGAATTCCGCTGCCTGAATCTGAGGACAGGTCGCAGGCGGCTGCTGCCCAAGGCGCTGCTTTGGCCTTCTGCCCAAGGCTTTTTGGTCCTTCTGGCATTCCCGATCAGATCAACCGAAGTGATCCCCTTGCGGATCCTCCAGCTCTGACGGAGTTCGATCTGCAGGCACAGTCGCCATCAGTCGCATGAGTTTGTCTGGGACTGTGGACCAGGCCGGCCTTTTGGATCTCGCCGCTCGTGGCTTCATCCCTCCGGCAGCGGACCTGACGCCTGCGATGGAGCGAGGCTCGAGTCGGATCTGTGCACATGGCGAGCATGACTACGGGGGCCCGGCACAACTGCAGGCATGCCGTGCCTCATGCAGCGGCCAGCTTTGGTCTACGACCAGGCTGTGGAAGGGCTACTGGAAGGGCTACGGAACCCCGGCTATGATTCGCCATTCAGGCGCTGAAGCAGGAACGGCATGACCTCAGAGCCGAGGACCTGGCCAAGGCGAGCCGATACATCCGATACGAGCCGCAAGTTTTTGCGTCGCACTAAGCAGCGGTTCGAGAGGTGAGGCTGGATCTGCGAGAACATGTCCTTCGGACTCTGGGGCCTCCAGAGGACCCCGCAAGCGCCTGCAATCCCTACCAGAAAGGATCTGCACCTCAGAGCCATTCAGAGCCTCAGGATCCACCCAGCTCAGAGGCTTCACAGGCCCGGCTTGCAAGATGAGCCTTGGGATCTGCCTTCCTTGTGCTTTGAGGCCCGTACTTCCCAGTTACCGCCTCTGCCGCTGTGCTGCAAGCAGGGGCTCAGCCCTTTCCCTGCAAGCAGACCCTCAGCCCTGCAGGCCCGCGCTTCCCGCCCCGCCTCAACCGGCGGCTGGATCTGTGGCAGAGGCCCAGAAGGGAGGTCTGCAGGTGACACAAAGATCCTCGCCAAGCTCGAAAGACAGACGATGGGAAAGCAGCACACATTGGCTGACGTGAGTTTCCAGTCGCCCGATGGGTGGTCAAACCGAATCGAAGATAGGTGCATTTTCGTGTCCTCGGAAGGCTTACGGAACTTTCTGCACCGAGCTGCTGGATGCAGCGGGCGACGACTCTGCAGTTTTGGAGGAGCCTGCAATGATTGGAAGTCGGAGCGGTGCAGCTGGTGTCTGTGTGGTAGGCTGTCTCAGCATTGCCTGCCGGTCCGACGAAGGCGGATCAATGCATCAATCCTTTTGGACAATTTCTCGTTTCAGCCAGGCCGAAATCCAGGATGCAGCAGCATCACTTATAGCAGCAGCATGGCGCATGACAGCACAGCGAAGGAGGCAGAGTGAGCGGGTGGGAATCTTTAGTGCTGTACTCTGGCCTGATCTCACCGAGAAATTTACCCCCCAAAATTCACAAGAAAATTCGGCAGATGGTAAGAGTTCTCAGGGATTTGCGGTGAAGCTTAGAGCTGACTATGCTATGCTTCGGCTTCAATCTCCGTGCCGGTTTGCTGCGGGCAACCTTCATCTTGGCATTTCTTCTTGACTCCGAACTTGAACTCCAAAATGGTGTCGCCGAAGAAGCTCAGTGGAGTGTCCAGCAGCTCGATCTCCTGAAGGCTCTGCACCTTGCCACCGGGTTCCCGACAAAGACTTGAGCTGATAGGTATCTGGAGCTGCGGACCACGCACAGGGCAGCTCGTTGCATTCAATCTGTGGTAGCCTCGGATTTCGTGCGAGGACCTCTTCATAATTGATCTGGCTGACGGATCTCCGGCACTTGTGCCTCTCCCGTGAGATCTGGGACGGGGGGGAGTGGTTGTGGCAGAAATCGGTCCTGCACCAAGACTGCTTCCGGGGAGGGGAAGGGGGAGTAACGATGGATGGAAACAGGTGCCGCCGAGCTTGACCGTACTGTCGAACGCCAACCCTGAGACCTCCGCCCATCGAACACCAATACCACAACAGCTTGCCAGAAAAGAGAACCCCCAACAGTTTGCTAGCACAGTGGGTTTACTGGCATTGGACTTGCCACTGATGCAGCAGCCTGCACTGCCACAGCATCGAATCACACAGAAATCAAGAGTTCCACATGATGACACCCAGGGCTGGCACACCTGCTTGGTGAGAAGCGCCACTCGGCAAGAGCTCATGCGGCGTGAGGACCCCCAGAAGCTGCATTCAGCGTCCGAAACCTGACCGTCACTCTCACTCTGCGAATCTCTGCGAGGAGGAGGAGCGAAAGCTGCAGACAATGATGATGTATCAGATTGGTCAGGACTGGTTTCAGGCAAGGGGTCAATCGGCGCTTGGGCAAGACAGGCCGTTCCCATCCGTTCCCTGATCCTTGAGGCGAAAGCAATGCGCCGGGTGGAGGTTCACGCCCCTCGGATCACAGCTCACTAGCGTGAAGCCTCGGACTATGCGGGTGTGAAAGCTACCGAGATCTGCTCCTTGAGCATCGCAGAGCATCGACGCCGGCGCATGGATGGCTACCAGGCCGGATCCGGCCGATGCCATGTGTTTTGCTGGCAAGCCGGCGTTCGGCCTTGTTCCAGGTCATGCAAGCTGCCCAGATCGCTCGCATCTTCCGCCTGGCAGACGCCAAACGGGACTTGCCAGAGCTGTGCAGCGCTTTTTTTTTCACGGGGAAACACTTGAAGGGCTTCAGTCGAGTGAAGCATTCGCTGATTTGCTGCAGGATATCATCTTTGTGGCTCCAAAGCACATTCACGAGGTGGCATCGACTGGCGCCTTGAATCATTCCCGACAGATGATGTGTCAGGATGTGCTGGACTATTACTCCAAGATCATGCAGTTTAGGGGCATACAGAATCCTCCTGGTCGATTTCAGGCAATACTTCTGTGCACTGGGGAAGTTCCGCACATCGCTGTTGATTCTCGATCGTTCATGCTCATGTCAGGTCGTGGTACCGGAAAACATCGACCTTAAGGACAAGATGTCTCTTACACAGGCCTTCTCCAGTCTTACTGCGCTGGTTCAACGTATCGAACATGTTTCGAAGCAAGACACGCATGGCAGGCCCTCCTGTGTTCGCCGAAGGCACAGACCTTTACCGCTGCATCACGTGGTGTCATACGCCGGTAGTGCATGAGTTGCACAGCATCAAGCAATGAGCCGCACCAGATGTCTAGACATAAGAGATTCAGGAGAGCTCTTTTCTAAGGTCTCACGTGTGACCAGTCTGAAGTTGCCGTACAGGCGCTGAAGCGTGTCCGAAGACTGGTCAGCAACCGCATGGCGATGCTGATTCCGGAAGTGCTTGGCCTACAGGGCCTACATGATGCTGCCTGTATCTCATGCGAAGAGATGCCAGGACATTGTAGGCAGTCAAAGCCTGGCATATAAGGCGGTCACTCATGTCGAGGCGAAGCTCAGTTGTGCTCTGAGGCAAGGCTCGGATTCCCGACCTTTTCTGGTTGTGTCAGCGGCTTCAAACTTCAAAGTGCACAGCGGATTCGCAGAGCTACGTGCCAGGCTGCCTCTCATAGGCCCCAGCTCGAGGAACATGTCGCTCCTGGCATCGAAGTCCAATGCCAAGGCATGGAGAGCTCCGGCGATCGTGAATGTGCCATAAGGCCATAAGGCACCACCAGTATCATCGGTCTCGTGCTTGCAGAAGCTGACTCAGCTGGCCCAGCTGCCAGTGGGGCCCTGGGCGGTGGATATCTACGACGAGGACCTGAGCGAGCAGGAGTTTTTAATTATCGCAAGCTTCGTAATCCTGCGCTTTGCACAGGATGAATTCTTCACCTGCCTTGCTGGGCTCGTGATCAAGCACCCAAAGGCCAACCGTCGGGTTTGATGTTCTGGTTGATCACATGTGTGAACAGCATTTTTAACTTGATATGTTGGCAGACGTATGCCGGAGCCAAACTAGTGCACATCTCATACTAGTATGCGCTTGGCCGAAATTGAGGGCGGCCGCTGCTGCAGGTGAACGGAAGAGGGGTGGGCAACGGAGGGCTGCAGGGACTGGGGGGTCAGGGCGATGTGGCAGAGCAAAATAACATGCACTCATGCACGAACAAGCTTTCAGAAGTCTCTGGGCACGGAAGAAAAGGGGGTCAGCAGGCTGAAGGCGGGGCGACAAAAGGGAGGAAGCAGGAAAGAGCAGTAAAAAGGAAAGAGGCAGTGTAGCTGCACAGCGAAAGGTGATTGGGTGAGCGGGCGGGGTTTTCTTTGGGAGGCATATCGCGCGGTTTGCTGAAGCCTGAACCAAAGCATCATCGTTCGGACTTCGGTTGAACGTTGTATTCTTTCTGCTTTACCGTCGTGCGTCGCCTTCGACCCAGATGTCTATTCTCCCGGTTTCCGGTCTTCGTACGGCAGAACTACGAATGCGAGGAGGATGTGTCACAGTGCACAGATGATGCGGGGGATCACAGATCCGTCTTCCACGTTCATGGCTCGTCCCGTCACTCTCCATGAAAACGAAGTGCTAAGGCTTACTGGTCTGCTCTCGTCTTGTTCAGTTGCGAGAATGGCATCGTCTGCTGTGAGCAAGTCTCTGACGTCCATCTTGGGCCTGGTGACATAGAGTATGGTGTCCTTCAGAGTTTGCAGCAAGGCAGCGCCCTGCTCACGGTTGGGCAGAATTCATAATGTGTTCCTTCGCGGTTGTGTGCTCCTCGTTTCTGTCCAGTGCGTGCTTGAGGTCAAGGTGTTCCGGGGGGATGTATTAAGGATAACTCTGCTCAGTCGCACCTTCTTCTCTCTGGAGGTGCGGACGTGGCTTTTCAAGATCGACGACGAGAGGGGCTCCCGGGGCACAGCCTACATCGACCTCTACAAGCTGCACCAGGCCTTGGGCGAGGACCTCGAAGACTGGTCGCTGCCCAGCGATCCTGGCAGGTCCAGCAGAGCGTCAACGCTTCGGCACCGGCACTTCTAGGCCTTGGGGTGGGCCCTGCCACGAAGGGCTTCTGTCGGTCAGACCTGCCTGGGTCTATGCTAGAGTAGGTCAAGACCCTGATGGTTTGGGCGACTTGGCAGCACCAGTGTATCATCAGGGTGGCGAAGTCAACCGGGTGGGAAAGTTTCATTCAGGTGCCACGGCTGCCGAGGTTGAAGACTCAGATCGCTGTAGAATCGTTATCGATCGAAGGTGTCCTGTGGGCGGTTGCACACGGCCGAAAAATGTCATGGCCTTGCAACTGCTACTTCTCCGTTGTTTCAGGACGAGGAGCCTGCCATTATCGGTGCCGATGCCACTGAGGCCGAAACCTGGCAAACCGCAGGGTCCCCCGCTACTTGTAGCTTTGGGCAAATGAAGACATGTCAGGTTCGTGCCGCGCTGCAGCATCACGTGCCGAAGAGGGCTGTCCTTTGTCATCGGCAGGCTTCTTGACTCATTTGACTTAAGTTTTTGATTGCTCCTTGTGCTTATTTGGCTGCTCCCAGCAGCGTCCAATGACAACCATTCCCATCTAACAGGATCGCTCTTAGCAGCTCTTAACACCAATTCGGCTGCGGTCGTGCCAGCATCGAGCGGGGGCAGAATCTTAGGGAAGCTGTCCACACCACACTTTTAGCGATTGTTGACGCGACCACGCGATTTCGGAGTTGTACATTTGTCGTGTGCTGAATAACCGACCCAAATGAAGTATTCTAGGGAATCTTGCGGATGTGTCAAAAAATCGTTGAGCTCGATAGCTTCGCTCCGGTACGTGATGTCGGCAGATACAAGTTAATCAATCGACCACCTAAACTTAGTACTCCTCGGAAACACACTTAAGAAATTGGTGCGAATCGGGAACCGACAGCCCTGTGACAGCCGTGGCAAGAGCGGGCTTGCTGCCCAGGCAATCCCAGGCACAGCTACAGGAACAGCAGCTTCACTTTGTGCGATTTGCTCCAATGTGCTCGCCAAGAACACAATGGTACAAGACGAATTCCAAGCGCCTGCGAGCAGAGCAAAATGTGCTTCCCAATTTAGCAGCGCTGATGTCCGTTGGGTCACATAGTGCACCTAGTGCAAGGTGTACGGTGACTTCGCCTCATGGCTAGCAGAAGCTTGCCGCATTGGCTGCGTCATTCAGGCTTCAGCGTGCAGCATTCTTGAGATTTGAGTGCTTTGGAGGCATCGTGCCAAAGCTTTCCCCTGCCTCAGGCTGCGCCTGAGAACATGATCTCCCAGACCAGCGTGCGCGAAGCTCAGACTTAGCGTGCAGGACCTTCTACAGCGCTGCGTGAAAGACGGTGGTGCAACGCAAAAGATGTGATACACATTTCCACATTGAACGTCGGGCTCGGGTGGTTTCGGATAAACCGAAGACTAATTAGACGAAAAGCACAGCAATTCGTTGCCCAGCAACCTGGAGGAATCGAGCTTTCTGAGCTCATGGCCTGCAGGCATTTCCAAGTTGCTCCAGATGGCGCTATTGACATCCTCGGTACATCGGAGGCAGGGAAGCTGTGCCGGCAGCTCGAAGATCTGCAGTTGACTTGTGGTCGAGCTTCGTGCTGAGAGGCTGTTATGAGCACCCCCTTCGTGCGAGCTGCCTCCTGGTACCCGCACTCACGAGGAAGCTTTGAGGCGGAGAGCCTGGCATGGGATGATGCAAAGATACTTGTGATGGGGATGGGACCATGGGATACCTCGAGAGCAGGTTCTTCAGGAAGTGGGTTATCGACTCGGCCGCTGCCTGGCAGCCAAGGTGCATGCCCTCATTGTGTCTGCACTTTGGGGATCTTGGGGCCTTGGGGATTTGGCCCCATGTGGAGAGTGCAGATGCCCAAGTTTCTGTAACCTGCGAGGGCTTCATGGGCTTTGCATCGGCTGTCGCCAAGCTGCACTAGCTCGCCTCGAGGTTGAATGATCTGGCTTTTGCGTCCGGCCCCAGGATGTGGTGTTCTTTGACAACCCAGAGTTTGATGCCAACGATTTCGTGTCGGACCGGTGCTCAAACCTTCAGACACTGCACTGTGGCAACAACCCTCCTGCAGTGCGGAGTGGAGAGCGGAGGGGAGAGCCGGGCGTGTTACCACGAGGAGCCTCGCGAGTCGACGCCTGCAATCATCGGCAGCGACACGCCGGTGAACCCGGAGGAGCTTAGCAGCGACTAGCATGTGAGATCATGCTGATTCTGTCTTTTACTGTAAGTCGGCACATGACTTTTCCAAACCAGGACCTCATGTTTGGCAACCTCCGGTCGGGTGCCTTGAACGTTGGTGGGACCTTCTGCCTATGCGAAGCTGTCGCAGTCGACTGCCAGTCCGAACGGACCAGAGCATACCAGAGCCCGATCGCAAGGTCACCGTCGCCTGACATTAGCGTGGACAACGGCGACCTTCGACCGTTTGCTCCCCAGACGCACCAACGTGGTGTCATTGAATCCTACACTTGGGGCCCTTTTGCGAAGCAGAGGAACAGTAGAAGAGGATGTTTTCGCACCTTCTCTCAATTCCTAAGGTCGGCAGACAGCTTGCCTGAAAGTAGGCAGGCAGATTACAATGCTGCGCTTCAGGTTCACGAGGACAGCCTTTGCAGCATGCAGCAGAAACTGGCAGGAGGCATGAGCCTATCATGTCTGAAGGAACAGTTGAAGCGGGAGAACCAGTCCTTCGATCCTGCGCCTGTCTCAGAGTAGTGAGGCTTGCCGTGTCTGCCTCTCTGCATGTAAGCCACTTGCCGCATGCATCAAAACACGTGTAGTCAGTCGGCTACATGGCTACACATGAGATGTTATTCGTGTAACCAGCTCCCACTGTCCAGGGATGGGTGGGGGCAGGGGAGGCACCTGGATCGTTTTGCCAGCCGGGCTTGGCCAAGTCTTGGGAGGCTTGTGGGAGGTTTTGCAGGGCTTGAGAGTTTTCGTTTGATTCCGCACCGTCAACTCAGTGTCAGTTTAGTGAGACACGGGCCAAGCTTGCACTGGCCGTGCACGATCGTGTCCCTTAGATGCATGTGCAATTCATCGCTGCTAATCTTCATGGCCTCTAGGTGTGCGCAATGCGTGGGAAATCGTAAATGTCGGCTTCGTGTACCTGTAGTTTGCGAGCAAAGCCAAATTCAACCTGGGTTGCAATATGTGGCGTAACTGTTCCGACAAAGGTGAGCCTCATGCTGGGCGGGCCCGAGCAGGGTGCTGGCTCGACGTTGAGCCCTTTCGCTTGCACGGACCCCACACGTCTCGTCCATGCAAAAGTTTGTGGCCCGCGACATGGAAGCGAGTCTGGGCGCAGATCCGGGGGGGGGGGGCTGAGGCTGGGTGGTCGATGTGGACGCGCGCCTGACGGACGAGGTGTGTCTGGGATCCTCTCGTCGAGTGTTGGACATCTGCCAGAGAAGGCTGCTATGCTCTTCCCGCTGAAGTTCATCGCCCAGGCCGCCTCTTGAGCGCCCTTCGTTTCCTACATTGCCAGCGGCCAGAAGATGAAAAAAACCTCATTGAGGTGAAGCAGGATCCCATGCACGGGCTCATGCTGTCGGAGGTCCAGCTCTCAGCCTTGTGGGCGTATTTGCACTAAGACAAGTTGTGCAAGTGTTGCAGTGCCAGGCGCAGGATTCGGATTTCAAGGCTCATCAGGAGCTTACGGAGGAGCTCCAGCGTAGCCGTCGCAAACCTAAGAGTCGTGGCCTATAGTCGAAGCTGGTCAAGTCACCACAGGAGGAAAGACTCCTGCGCTCTCAGCGCTGGGCAATGGTGAACTGCGCCGCGCTCCTAATTCGGGCCATGCTCTTCGCTCCCAACACCTCTCCAAGAATCATGACAGATGGGAATGTTGCTTGTTGTACGTTGATCGACGAGAAAATTTGCTAGGTTGCGCTGGCCCCACAGCTGGAAAAGATGAGTCACCAGGTGCTGTTTCAGGCTGGTCTGCGCATGTGGCAGTGTTTCACTTTGGGCCCGGCTTGCCAGAAAGCTGATGCATTGTACTCCCATGCACTAGAACCCCAAGGCTGTCGACCTGGAGAGTTCAAGAAAGTGCACTGAGTGGCACAGAAATCTATCTTTTGGTTGGCCTCTGCATTTGTTTTGTTCGCACTGGAGGTTCCTGATGCTAGCTAAGGTTGGAGGCCTCGGCAACTAGCGAAGTGACTCGCAATGACACATCTAACCGCGATATTCGCTTGGCTTTGGAACATTTTCGAGGTCGCAGAATGACGTGCTATCGGGATGGGCGTGCGAACAGCACTGCAAAGGACCAATCCCACATTGCCGGAATCTGGGCACTTGCAGGGCCTATCACAGCACGCCTGGCAAAGCCATCACAGCTCGAGCCTCCTCTTATTTGTGCACCTCCACCTCCGCGGCAGATGCAGCTGTGGTCGACTCTTCTAATGACCCTCTCGATACGGTTCTTTGTTTTTGGATGTGTTTCAAGACAAGATGGCGAAAGGCTTCCCGCCCAAGATTTGGCGATTTTGTCATGCAGACGTTGAAGTCTATATCGGGCCTTTGATCCCATCACTATCATGACTGTCGGGGTTCCCGAGGGCCACAAGACAAACCCCGTGCATCAAAGGAGGAAGCCTCCGACCTCAGAGGCTTCCGCCCAGCTGACCGCACCTCGAAGGCAGCGAAGATGCGCGGCGTGTCCTTCGACCTGTTCCACAACGTCGGCTGTGTCTTCACGCGCGCTCTCGCAGAAGTTCCGGGGTGCATCGCAGATGTGCTCGCCTGGTGAGGTTCCTTGATGTGGTACACAAGTTATTCTCTTTGATGGTGGTCGACAAGACACCGGAGCAATGTGCAAAGAAAGGGCCTTGGAGTCTGATTGTGATGTTGTATTTCTTTGATTACATTAACCTTGTGGAAAACCCTGATGCGTGGCTGAGGAAGATGTCTGCATCTCTTGCGGCGATTGCAGAAGGCACAGCATCAAGCCTGGCCTGTGGGTGCTGCGGTCTTGTCGTAAGTCAGTCAAACAGACTTTACACGCTCGATACTGTCGAGCTTTCTTCACAAGAAGCATGGCCTTACCGTGCTCTGTGTAGGCCTACTTGTAGCCAGTAGCTGTTCCCCTGAACGCGGATGATGAAAGCTGAGCAGAGCCGTGCAGTGCCGTGCAGGGCCGAAGGGAGCGCCGGGTGCCGGCGCCTCGGAGGGTGCGAAATTCCAAGCCGAAGCGTCGGACAGCATGAAAGCCAGAGGCATCCGATCCCCTTCTTTTTGTTTTACGATGTGTTGAGGTGTGAAGGCTTCTCGATCAGCGATTCTGAGGGTTGACCGGTTTCCTAGGCTTAAGTGCAGGCATGGAGCACCCAGCCGCAGCCTTGACCCCCTTTCAATTCTTGCGCAGAAGTGTTGCTGACAGCACGAAACATGAATCTTGATTCCAAACGCTTGAGAGCTTGCGGAGGCCAAGTCTGCCAAGCAGAAGGTCGGCGGGCTGCCTCCGGAGGCTCGAACCACATACACTTTCAATGTTCCTGGATGGGAAAATTGCGAGGCAACGGACCAGCTTACCATCGCAGATGTGCAGCTGGCCCTGCGGGCTCCGTGCTTAGAGTCTTAGTCCTAGAGTGTTCAACTGATGGTTCCTTTTGTCGGGTCAGCCAAATTCACCGTTCCACTCGACCGCCCAGTCTTTGCATGCCGATGTGACAGAAGAATAAAGCATGCAGTCGAGGTTTGCCTGAAGCGGTTCGCAGAGAGGCAGCGCGCCCAAACTCTGACACCATCAACACATCAACATCACAGGGTGCTTGGACGGTGTGGTCCTTAGCAATCACATGCTCAGGAAATGAGCTTTCCAAGAGTCACATCTGGAGAGGTGATGAGCTTTGATCAGCTTGTACTGTACAGCACAGCATACGGACATGGTGAGACAATCATTGTTTAGACATGGGTCTGTGAACCATAGAATCTAGAAATGGGCCAGCTCGGAGTGTTTTCGAATTGGGATATGCCAACGACCGGAAGCTGCATAGGTGGCATAGGAGTTTCACCGCAGTAGCACAATGAGACACCAAAGGTGCTTCAAGTCTCGTGCAGGGCTTTGGGTTCCACCAGCCCGAACAGACAGAATAGTCTTGTGCACACAAAGCTGAACACCACTGGTTGGCGCCGACCAGTGAAGGCTTTTCTTGTCAAGATGGGAGTGCAACGAATTCATCTTTTTACATCCTCTTCGGAGTTGCTAGTGACATGCTTGCTGGCCCACCACCTGTGAGGAGGGGTCTGAAACTGGACCCAAACGGCAGGCCAATTCCCATAGAAATCGCTGAACTTGGGCTGCCCGCTGCTTGTTTGTTTTTTCAGTACCGTCAACGCAAGCTGTCAAGACATGAGGCAACTGAGGTTGTCATATCTCTACCTGGGCTCGGGAGTATCCATTACTGACAGTTGCACAAGCACATCTGATCATTTTGCAAATGTGAGCATACCGCAAATCTGAGCATACAGCTGCTTAACACAAGTCTGCGTTTAAGATCTTTCGAATGCTACATGCTGCAGTCTGAGTCAGACACGCTTGAATGTCATGGCGGCAGATCCTATTCCAGTCAATGCGCAGGTGTTGTTCAGACAGATCTGGTGGCATTGCTGTGAAGTCAGTATCTTGAGCGGGCATGCGCTGCAGGCGATGGACGTGAGAATCTTGCAGTCTATCCCAACTCCAGTGGCAGATTCATTGCTGGCGCGGGGGCGCAAGAATGCAGCGGACATCTTATCTCGACCAGAAGCTCTCACGGAGGCGACTCGGCGAGCGCAGAGCAAGTGAAAGAAGACAACTGCTTCCTTTACAATCATGTGCATTTCCTTGGTGCTGGAGCTCGTTTTAGGGCGCGTGTGGCCCGCAGTGCCTGCAGTAGCGAGAGTGTTCTTCACGAACACGGGAAGTGTGGGGACTCTTAGTCTTAGCCCAAAGGCATCCTAGACCGTGGGAATCGGAGCCAACGATTCGTCCAGGTTCTGGCCCAGCACCATGTTGCTGGCCTGGAGCGTCGCGCCAGCACTTTGCTGACGGCATGCCGTCGAGAGGCGGCTTCCAAGGATGCAGCTCGGCAAGCCTGCTCTGTCCACGCGAGTCTCCTTGTAACCACAGAGTCTCTCCAGGCCTGGAGCTCCGCCGACTCCGCGCTGTCACTCCTTCAAAAAAGTTCTGCTGCGCAGCCCCTCAGGCTACCCTGTGCAGGCCGAGCGAGTTGCAGCTGCGCCCAAGAATCAGCGATCTGAGCTTGCCCTACTGCGATTGTCAGCATCCATCCTGATTCGGCACCCGCCCGTACTGTCAGGCTGGCAGGCAAATTAGGTACTCTAGTTTCACACGGCTTCTGCAAGTCTTCCCTAGCCATGGCCTATCGCTCTCCTCTGGTGCTGTGCCTGGCGGCCGCTGCCGTGTTGCTGATTGCGCCTCAGGCCTTCGTCCCTTCACCAAAGAGCCAGACTGCAGGGGCTGCGCTGGCTGCAGGCGCAGCTGCAGGTTCCATGGCTGTGCCAGCTTGGGCCTACGACCAGCAGGTGATGGATGCTCAGATGCTGCTGGCGCGCATTCCTGGCGGAAAGCGCACCCAGGAGCTTGGCCTTGTGATCCCAATGGCTGAGGAGGACGGCCTGACGGATGGGCAGGTGGCTGGCCTGTTCTTGATTGCACTCGTGGTCTTCATCTCTGCCATCGATCTGGCAAAGACCATGTACAACGGCATCAACCCTGCCAAGTTCAAGACCTCCAAGGGCAAGGGCTACATCAGCCCGCTGGTCAAGCGCTACATCGAGAACGGCTACTGAATGTCCACCACCCCATGGTCGTGCTGCCAGTCTGAAGTTTTTGAAAAGACCCGCAGCGCGAACTGCATCTAAAACAGTTCGGTTATCAGATTGCTTGCCCGCTGCCGCTGGTGTTGCTGCGCCTGATACAGAAACAGCTGCTGTGGGAAGCGCAGGCCTGAATGGGCTCCTCGGCAGTGCCCTGCAGGGTGGGGGCGCCCTGCTCGAGGTGGGGTGCCCCGAAGGTCAATTGCAATGAGAATGCCTGTGCTCCCTGGTAGGTCTGCGGGCTCCCAGGCAGTGGCAAGACGCAATTCTGCCTGCTACTCTGGCTTGTTGACGGGGAATTTCGATGAATGTCTTCATCCCAGTGCTCGGAGTGCCAGGCAGCTGTGTGCTGCAGCTCAGATCTCGCGCCTCAACCGCAGCGGCCCTGGGCAGCCAGTCTTTGGCTTGCTCCGACTTGCTGCCAGGCCTGGGCTAGCAGAGCCGGACTCGCTGGCCGAGGTGATGACTGCTGCCTTGTGGCGAACTTTGGAGCTCAGCTCTGAAAGGCGATTTATGTGGACACAGAGGGATCTTTCGTCCCGGAGCGGTACATGCAGGCACGGTCAAACTGCTGAAGTTATGCTGTCGAGTGCTTTCCCGCTACAAGGTTTGCGAAGCGCTGCTTTCTGAGACAAGGCCCGTGGCCTCACATCAGAGACGGTGTACCTTTTGCACTGCCGCAAGGCCGACTCTAGATGCTTCTTCTGTCTGCCGCCTGCTGGAGGCCAGGTTAACAGACGGTAGGTTCCCGGTAGATGCCTTCCTGTAGGGATGCTCGCAGAGGCTGAATTGAGGCAGGACTCGATTGCCTTCTTTAGCCGAGGCTGGGATGCGCCGACTTCACGTGTGTCGCGCGGAGCCTTTTCTGAGATTTCCCTTGCTCCCTAGGCCCAGGCATGGCATATGCTTGTTGACTTCAATCAATCTATATATATGTATATATGTATGCATATATATATATATACATACACACATATATCATATATCTGAACCTGCAAGCTTTCGCCAAGTACGATGCGACAGAGCTCTACTCCACCATCAAACGGCTCGGTAGTTTCATTCAGGCGCGGCTCCGGGTGTGAAGCCCTACTCTCACTCACATCGCAACAGCTCAATACATTGCACTGCACCGGCCTTCAATATGAATGTTTGACAGTGTCGCATTTTTTGTGCATGCTGTCGCGTTGGCTTTGGGCCATTACCTGCTGCTGCTTCCTGCTTTACAGGGAAGACCACGCATTCGCGCCCTCGTGGTGGACTCGATTGCCTTCAGCTTCCGCCATGCCACCTGGCCCGCAAGTTAGCCACACACGCAGGTGCGGCCTGTTGGGCATGTCGTATGTCTGAAGCATCACGAACGTATGACGCACACGTGGTTTCCTGAAGACGTCTGTTGAATGCTCATCCGACCCGCTGCACGTGGTTACAGGAGCTCATGGACAACACCGCGCAGCGTGCCAGGGTGCAATGCAGTTTTCTGTGGGAGCTGAAGGGTAATGTCATGCCTGCCCAGATCATTGTGCTTTGGGAAGCTTCGGAGAGATTGCTTAGAAAAACTAAGATAGGCCTCTGCCAGTGTCGACATTGTATCACGTCCTCTGGCATCGGTCTTGCAGCGTTTGATTTGGGCTCAGCTCAGAGCACACCCACTAGTTCCCTTGTCGGCCTAGCACCGGGCACACAGCGTGCCTGCTTCTAGATCTGCAACTAAAGGCTTCTTGCATCTTCTTGCGCGGGCTCGGGAGCGAAAGCTTACGTCCCCGAGGCCGTGGCTCATGCAGCCATGGCAGCTGGGCGTCAAGGACACCCGGCACGGGCTCGTGGAAGTCTGAAATGGATGTTCCTTTTTGTGGACGGTCTTGCGCTGAAACAAATTATGTGTTGGAGCGGAGTGGCTCTCCTCGGGGCGATGATCGCTGCAGTAAAGCTTGGACGGCGTTTGTGCAGGACAGCATTGGTAAAGAACTCAGACGCTCGGCGGACTATGTTGCTCACGACCCGAGCCGAGGGACGAGCTTCCAAGTCTCCGAGTGCTGCCTCCGTGACGAGCGTCAAAGATGCCATGCTTGTTCCCGGCCATCCGAGGCGATTTTAGAGAGAGAGCTTTGGAAGTTTCTTGGATGAAGCAAGTAAATTGCAAGTAGAGACGTGTGCTCAATTGACGATGCCGGTTTAGGCGTCGCAACTCAAGGCACTTCATGTCCCGTGGCCCTGCGACACTGAGGTAGCCAGCACCTGCGCGACAGATTTCGAAGCGACCACTGCTGAAGCCTCAGACGCGTTGCCAAGTCTGCACTGGGCCACATGTCTCTTGCGAAGCCGGCCCAGCAAAAGCAGCGGAAAGAAGGCGTTGCCGCGCAGTGTGCTGGAACCTCACTGGAGCGCAGGCACGCCTGTCGCCAAAGGAGGAAGCAAAGATCTAGTGAGCCTAGTGGGTGAATGTCGTTTCATTGTATGGCAGAACTTAGCATACGAAAGACGAACGCCCTTCTGTCTCAGCGGCTGACGAAGCCTGGGCTTTGTGCACCGGTGTCGAAGGCTGAGGTCGTACTGATTCGCTCTGATCATTTTGCCCGCTAATGGTTTGCGATGCTAAAGCGAGACTCGATTCGAGCTGCGGCCAGACTTCGAGAGCTTTTGCTGGCAAAGCATTCCACTGATCGATCCGGCGCGTTTTTCGCTAAACCGGCATGTTTACCCTTCAGAACGAGCGAGAGGGTGACAGCGAGCAAGCACATGACTTTTGATCCGAAAAAAAATTCATGTTTCTTGCGAGCTGCTGCGCGAGGTGCAATAGCTGCTACATAAATGGCCGCATCGAGCTGTCAAGTCTGCAGTTTCGGGAAGTCGCAAGGGACAGCCGGGCGAGGTGGTGTTGCAAGTTGGAGATTCCAATCGCACAGTGAGCTTCGTAGCTTCTGGAGAGGCAAGCAAAGAATCGAAGAAGCAGAAAAGGAAGGGCTCGCTTCGAAAATTGAGTAGGATGAGTCCTGCAAGGCCCCCAAGCATTTTTCCTTTTGAAAGATTTGAAAGTTGGTAAACTCCTGAGCTGAACGCCCAATCTAGGGTGCGAGTTTCAAAAAGGCTCGCAGCGGTGAGATGCCAGGTTGGACCATTTGATTCGACCGTCGTGCGAAGGCGGGAGTTGCACGGTCGGTCGGAGCATCAGAGAACGGACAGGCTCGGATCGATTTCAGAAAAGACTATGTGTCCGCCCAATTCTGCCAGCACGTTACTAGTCGAAGAGCCGAGCCGCCTGCAGAAAGCATTGAGAGACGGCCTCCTGGCTTTTCTCTGGCAGTAGCCAGGTCTCCACGCCCAGATCGAAGTTCACATGGATCATGCATTGGCGAAGAAAGTCGTCGCAAAGCGCTTTACTAGGCCTGGAATCCTGAAGGGCAACAGTCAACGTGGAGCTTCCGGCCTCTTCTTTACAACTTCGCCAGGGCATATCTTCATGACAGCCCCAGTGCTTTCCGGGAGTCTGACGCATTCTGTGGAGAGGACTTGCGAACTGTTACGATGCTTCGTTTCGTGTGGGTGTTGTGCAGGTTTGCATTCAGCAGCGTGTGAACTTCCGCTGAACACATTGCGGGCAGGATCCTTGGACCGAGATGTTTCTGGCCATGAAGCTGGGACAGGCACCGACTGTTTTTTGACCGTTCTACAGATCCTCTTACCCCTCGTGACGCACTGAGCCGCAGTGAGGCCGGCCCAGACCGCATCAAAGGAGCCAATGCCCTAGTGAGAGTTGGAGTTGACGAGCAGGTCAAGGAAGCAATCGAGAGCCTTCAGCACAAAGCTTGCCAGGTGCTGCCATGTTACGGCGTTTATCGTGATGCCAGCCATGGCCTCTGCTTTTTGGGGAGTCAGTCCATCGCGTGACACCGTTGCCGTTGTCTGTTCGTAGTCGTTATCTAGAAAACCCGACTAAACGTGAGAGTCATTCGGTGCCAGTTCATCTAGCGAATCAGAAACCAAATTCCTAGGCCCCTAGGCTCCAAGCCTGAACATTGTACATGAGAGCCATGTCGACATCCACTGCATGACAGCCACAAGTGTATTGCCAACTGCTTTAGCTCTACCCGGGCTTCCTAGGTTCAGTAGGCAATCGCAGATTACACTTCCAGCACTCCCAGTCGATGGCTTCCCTTCTGTATCAGGTGACTCTGCGCTCCTGATCATGGAGTGGGCCTCTGGCGGCGATGTCTTCGAGTTCGTATGGCACCAAGACCACCGCTGTTGCCTGCTGCTTTCACGAGTTATGCAAAGCTTTCAAGACAGTTCAGGGTTTGGGCTTTGGGGTCTGCAGAGCCGAAGGGCGAAGCCCTACGCTGTAGGCTAGCAGCCTCGGTGAGCCGGGACCGGCCAGGGAAGCGCAGGCACTGGGACAGGGAAGATTCTGCAACATTCAGAGTGCGCAAAACCTCTCCTTGCAAGCTGTTTTCTGGTTCTGGAGCCTTCAGTAGTCCTTCGGTCATCAAAACGGCCATCGCAAGGGCGGGCTGTTTCCTCCTCATGATGCTCTTCACGTTTTTACCAATTCCCGAAGTCACAGTGTAGCTGCAGACTGGCTGCGGAAGGCGCTTCCCTCTTGTAGAAACCTGGTGAAAGGTGAACTGCGGTCGGGAGGCAATAATGTGTGTCTTCTTACTGTGCTCCCGGCTGAACGTGTGCAACACCAGCAACTTCTAGCAACGCCAGTCCGGTTCAGAAGCGGCCAGTGTGCTGCACTTGCAGTGCCTTGGCAGGCAGCCCAAGTGCTTTGTGCCCTCCTTCAAACAGTGTCGCGGCTTCATAGCCGAAGCCTGAGATGTGTCCACAGTGCTGACTGTAGCCCCGAACACGGCATTTGGTGATGCTGAGTGCCTCCACGAAACCCTAGCCAGGTCTGGGCATTGCGCATGGTGATGTGAGTGCTGAGAATGCGCCCGGCTCTGAGAGCGGTTTGCACCGGAGGGGAAAAAGTGGGGAGGGCCGGCTGCAGCAGAGCACACGGCGCAATGCGGTGTTTTCGGTCTGCTTTACACAGAGGAATGAGTACTGGATATACCCTTTTGCGTTAGCGGTCCATGTCCAAAAGACTGTGGTCGTAGCTTCGACAAGACTTGTGACCACTTCGGCAGATGCGATTGGCGGTGCCATCCCTACCCTGTCAGTCCTGGGTGGCCAAACTTTTAATGGTACGACGGTCGGAGTGGACGACTGCGTCGGATCGGTGCTTGAGCCTGGGTTCGGAGATCGATCGCGTCGCTTGGCTGGCGAAACCTTGCTATCTTGGTCGGCGGCGATCTGACGGATCGCACGTTGGTCAATGTCGAACCCGGCTGACCTGCGCTGCACCACTTGCGACCGACCGGTGCAAACGGAACGTAGTAGGAGTTGCGAGACCAAGTGTAAATGCACGCACACAGTGTTGCTGCATGAGGGTTATGTAGTCCATGAGGATATTGCGGTTCGAGAACGGGGAGGTGGAGGCAACGGCTCACACAGCAGAGTCGCTCAGAATGCACCTGGTCATCTGACCTGTATTCTGTCGCTTGTTTCGCAGGTCGCCCTTCTCGATTTCGCCATGGCAATTCACGACACAGATCTGTCTTCGGTGCCCGGAACACAGATTTTGCAGACTCCAGAACACGGTTTTTGCATGGCTTGCCGGGCACACTGTTGACTGGTCAGCAGGGTCTGTTTCATTTGCAGGCATCGAACTTGACAGCCCTGCTAGATAAGGACTGGTGCACGAGGGAAGCCGATGTACCGAGCTCCGGACACCATGGGTTGCAGTGTGGAGAGGGTTTGATGAACAGTCGGGCGAGCACTTCTGCCACGTCGGTTTCTTGATTTGGACAACTTCAGATGTTGTACGCGCGAGTGCTCCACAAAGGGAGGCATGTCGGCGCAGCCCAATGTATGCCAGTGGGAGGCCCAGAGGTTGAATTGTCAGAGGTGATGGAAATCAGGACCCAGACTCGCCGGCAAATTTGGCCGTGCGGTAGTTGCGGCAAGGCAACGGTCGTGACATTTTACATCGAGGGCATCGAGCCACGAACGAGTCTTCTGCAGGAGACGCTGCAAGAAAACGTGCCCTACGATGCTCGAGCAGCAGATCTCTTCGCCTGCGGAGTGCAGATCCCAGAGAGACCGGCTCCGTCTAGGAGTCCCGGGAAGTTCCGACCTTTGCAGCTTCATTTGCTGTAGTGCCTCTTCCCGGTGCTCGTTTTGTACTTTCCTTCCGATATCCAGGTGGTTGGATATGCTCTGGCAATCGGTAATTACCCTTGGCAGAGCACCGCTGGAGGCGGGAGCTGACAATGCGACTCGAAGCATTCGCCCAACATGGACAGAGTCAGTGACCGTTGAAAGAAGCATGCTTGCGACTTGCCCACGCAAGGGCGCGGATCACTAACAGACATAGTGCCTACAGAGTTGATCCTCCAGTTTGCGTGTAGCAAAAAGATTTCGTTTGGCATGACTGACTAAACGTTTCACAGGCTGCAAGGCCTTCTCCTACGTCCAGAAGAATGGTCTTGCGAGGTTTTTCGAGAAGCACCTCGTCATGAACAGCTTGTGGAGATGTGTGCTTCCTCCTAAATGGTGGAAAGGTTCCTGCTTGCCAACTAATGCGACATCAGTTTCACCGAAACTGATTTTAGGGTTCTAGTGTGGGGCTTAGTGCATTGCAGTCCCTGCTAAGAAAGGGTTATAATGTTTCGGGTTCCAAATCCCTAAACCCCCTGCGAACTGAGCCCACTGCCCCTCGGCCCTTGTAGGCACCCTAAACCTTCAAGGCCTTCACATCTCAGCGTCGTTACAGTGTCTACGGTTTAGGGTTCAGGGTTTTAGCATTTAGGGTTCCAAAGCCCTAAAACCCAAAAGCTTGGACAGGCAGCCCATGCAAACTGAATCCACTGCTCCTCGGCCTTTGTAGGGACCCTAAACCCTTAGGCCCCACAACCCAGCACAGTGTCTAGGGTTTAGGGTTTAGGTGTTTATTCAAAAACCCTAAATTTAAATCCGTAAAGCCTAGCCTAAACAAGCAGCCCCTGCAAAAGGGACCCACTGCCCCTCAGTTTTTGTAGGCACCCCAAACCCTCAAGGCCGTCACATTGGATCAGTAAACCCTGCACGCTGACAATCTTGAGAAACATATACATAAGTATACAGTACACAAGTTTCCAGATTTAGGGGCCCACGTCAAGGGGGCATGGTTAGAGCCTTTGATTCAGAAAGGGTTGAAACTGCAGGTCAGCCTGCCACCAAACCACGCGAAATTCCCAATGCTTAGACACTTTGGTGCGCTGCTGCGTGGCGATCCCAATCAACATCGCTGACAGCAATGCGCACTGAGCCCCTCACGACATCCCTGTTCACAATTCACAAGGAGACAGGAGACCCCTTCGGCCACCGAGACCCTCTGCCAGAGTCGCAGTGCCAACCCGTGCATCTTCTCAATTCCTCTCACAGTTGCTACAAGACAGAGTGGTGAGACCGGTGCACCTGGCTCCGACCCGACGGACAGAGGGGCACCATGGGGTACCTGCGTGTTCCTGGGTTAGAGATCAAGACAAAGCAAACAAAGGATCAGTACGAACATAACAAAGATCAACAAACGCATGAAACAAGATCAGCAATAAATTGACAAGCCTTATGGTCATCAATATTACTGATTGTGTATCCTCACAGTTGCTACACGAAAGAGTGGTGAGACCGGCGCGTCTGGCTCTGACCCGACGGACAGAGGGGCACCATGACATACCTGCGTGCTCCTGGGGTAGGGATCAAAACAAGACAAAAAAGGATCAGTACAAACATAAACAGGATCAATGAACACATGAAAAACGATCAGCAATAGATTAACCAGCATTATGATTTCTCAATCGTACTAATAATCAAGACTATTATCTCCCCCTCCAACCCCCTTATCACTTTTGGAGCTGTGCAGCTTTCTTGAAGGAAGATCGTGCCATCAACAACTACATCGACATGAGCTCTTGCAAAAACCCAGCATGCGGGCCTTGTGCTTACAAAAGGGGATGGGGTTCCCCCCCAGCCGCCACTGCCAGCAGACGACGACGACGGCGACTACTACTA